CGATGTGTTGGTTGATAATACTGCTGGGTTCTCAACCTTCTCCTTTATGGATGGGTTCTCAGGCTACAATCAGATCAAGATGGCACCTGAAGATCGTGAAAAAATCATATTCATTACGCTATGGGGAACTTTCTGCTACAAAGTTATGCCATTTGGACTAAAAAACGCTGGGGCAACCTACCAACGTATAATGGTTACTCTCTTTCATGACTTGATGCACAAAGAAATTGAAGTTTACGTGGATGATATGATTGCCAAGTCAAAAGAGGGCGAGGAGCACACAACTATTTTAAGGAAGCTGTTTGATCGATTGAGGAAGTTCAAATTGAAACTCAATCCCAACAAACGCATATTTGGGGCAACCACTGGAAAACTCCTGGGTTTTGTAGTAAGCCAAGAAGATATTAAAGTTGACCCGGATAAAGTCAAAGCAATCTTAGAGATACCACCTCCACGGACGCAGAAAGAAGTCAGAGGATTTCTAGGACGACTCAACTACATCGCAAGGTTCATATCTCACTTAACAACAACTTGCATACCCATCTTTAAATTGCTCCGCAAGAACAACGATGGGGTATGGAGTGAAGATTGTCAAACAACATTTGATAAGATTAAGCAGTATTTGCAAGACCCTCTAGTTTTTGTGCCACTAACTCCAGGACGACCCTTTATTTTATATCTCACAGTGACTGAAGACTCAATGGGATGTGTATCGAGGCAGCATGATGATTCAGGCAGGAAAGAACGTGCTATATATTATTTAAGTAAGAAGTTCACCAATTGCGAAACTAGATACTCTCAAGTAGAAAAAACTTGTTGTGCTCTAGCTTGGGCTGCTCGACGTCTAAGACAATACATGTTGTATTATACCACATGGCTCATTTCAAAGATGGACCCCATAAAGTAAATTTTTGAAAAGCCGTCTCTCTCGGTCAAATTGCAAGGTGGCAGGTTCTCTTGTCCGAATATGATATTGTCTATGTGACTCAAAAGGCCATTAAGGGGAGTGTTATGGCCGACCACCTAGCTCAACAACCTATAAATGACTACGTACCGGTGAAGTTCGATTTTCCAGATGAGTATATCTCCACCATAACCGCAAGTGAGGAAAGTTTAGACCCACAAACTTGGACCATGATGTTTGATGGTGCCTCTAACGAGTTAGGTCATGGGATAGGGGCTATTTTGATATCCCAAAGGGGAACTATACCCTCTTACTGCTAGATTATATTTTGACTGCACACATAATATGGCCGAGTATGAAGCATGCTCGATGGGCGTCCAAGCTACTATTGATATGAAGGTTAAGAAACTTAAAGTTTTTGGGGATTCTATGCTAGTAATTCATCAACCAAGAGGAGAATGGGAAACAAGAGACGTTAAGTTGTTGCCTTACAAACAACTCATAACACAATTGTCACAAGAATTTGATGAAATCTCATTTGATTTTTTGCCAAGAGAAAATAATCAAGTAGCAGATGCATTGGCCACATTAGCGGTGATGTTCAATTTAGAACTCAATGAGGATGCCCGTCCGATTAAAGTTGGGAGGAGAGATGTCCCAGCTTCTTGTATGAGTATTGAGAAAGAACCCGACGGTAACCCCTGGTTTCATGACATCAAGCAATATATAAAGAGTAAAGAATATCCACCAAATGCTTCAGAAAATGATAAGTGCACCCTCCGCAAGTTGGCAATGAAGTTTTTCTTAAATGGAGAGATACTGTACAAGAGGAACCATGACATGGTTCTCCTAAGGTGCGTCGAAGGAAGAGAGGCCAATTGGATTATGAAGGAAATTCATGAAAGAGTTTGTGGCAATCATGCAAATGGGCACATGATGGCTAGACAAATTTTAAGAGCTAGCTATTATTGGCTGACTATAGAGACAGATTGTATTAAATATGCAAGAAAATGTCACAAATGTCAAATTTACTCGGACAAGACTTATGCTCCTGCTTCTCATTTGCAGACTTTGACAGCTTCTTGGCCTTTCTCTATGTAGAGCATGGATGTGATAGGACCTATCGAACCTAAAGCATAAAATGGGCATCGATTCATTTTGGTAGCCATAGATTATTTTACTAAATGTGTAGAAGTAGCTTCTTACCGAGATGTGACAAAAGAAGTTGTAGTCAAATTCATCAAGAAAGAAATTATTTGTCGTT